CTATTCCGAGCTGTACAAAAAGGTGAAGCTACGCGCTGGTTCCCGAACCCTTATTCGAATGTGAGGAGGGAACCAGTCTCCACGCCCATCGTTCAAAATAAAATAGAACCGTCTTAAAAAAGTCCATGAAATGCACTTTTCTTAGGAACATATTTTGTGCAACTTTCTGCTCCTCTTAAATGTATAAAAACTATCAGACATCCATTTTGGGTTTATTTTATTAAAAAGTACACTTCTTTAAACATTTTCCATGCTTTTCCTGACAACTGACGGCGCTGTTGCTGTAATGTCATTTCGGGAAGTCACTCTTCAGTTCAGGGGTTTTTTGTTCAAATTGTGAACCCCAAATTTGCTTATTGAAAACATTTGTGAGAAACGTTTGCTCATTAGCTTACCGCCATCTACTCACACAACAACGAATCACCAAAGAAAAGAAAATTTACGACATCAACATATCCAAAATTCGAGCAAGTTTTTGTGCTGAAATAGCTGTAACATTGAGGTTTCTGCCTGAAATGGCATCACAGTTTTGCTAATCAATATGGAAATTGACATTAGCATAAAAACAAAAAAGGCACCAACATACCCTTTAAAATGGCAAAACGAAAATTGAAAATCAGGTTAAATGGGACACAAAGGTGCATTTACAATGATTGCATTAAAACAATTACATTACACGGGCCATTTAAAATTTGTATTTCTTTTTCAAAATGGAAAATGTATCTAAAATATATTTGTTGCAATTTTGATTTCTTTTCAACACGCAAAATAAAAAGTTGAGTAAAATATTGTATACGTGTCAATTAAATACGGTATCTTTCTTTACAAATATATTGTTCTTGGAGCGGTAATATGGCGGACGGTGACGTCACTTCTAACAGCCAGTGAGCTCTCCAGATTTTGTTTACATGAAGATTAGTGGTTTGTACTCTATGTTGCCATGAATATTTTCCCGCCTTTCATGTTCTTATTTCTCTGTGGTTCTATCGTTGCATTTCAAGGTGGATAGCTTTTCAAATGTCACTTTAGGGATGTGTCGCAAAAGTGTCGATGAAACTACCGATGAAAAAAAAGTGTCGAAGAAAATGTGTCGATCGAATTGCGCGTGATATTTCTAATGGTGTTTGCAACAACGCAACTGAAGTGACGAGGATAAAAACTAGTTTATTAAAAGAAAGAGAACTGTCCGAATCTACGAGTTTTTGACATGTTTATTGTCAGTTGCCCTGCACGAGAAGAACAGGTCAAAATAAATACAGCAAAATGACATTAATTGGTTTATTACGAGTGTGAAGCAAAACATACAAAACGTTTGAACGGTTAATGGTCCGTGAAAAAGGCCTATCAGATGGTCATCTTCACACAAAAACACACACCTGTTTTACTTTTGTTGGTGAATAACAAACCCATGGGATGTACCATTATATTAAAAGGGAGTACAGGTCCATTGTATGTTTCGTCTGCAATACATAACCCCTCTCCTCCAATGGTTGATTCTTCTATGATTAAAAATGGAGGAAATGAGCAGAAACAAACAATCCATCAATCATTCCTCCAATTATCATTACTGTGAAACATGATACCAAAATGTACACATTATTATACCGAAAAATGTATCCTATAATCATAAATAAAAAAATACCTGCTCGACAAATTCAATGATATACAGAATTAATAGCCCACAGGAGTGCGTAAAATATTCAAAAGAAAGTATTACAAATGGCAAGCGGAGATGCATAATTATTTGTCACAACAAACAACACATTTAATTTGTTTACATAAACATAATGAACGACACATCCAAATTCACGCTGGGTTCCACGGGCGAACAGTTCTATTTTACACTTAAGTCCATGGGTTTAATGTTGAAGATGAAAGAAAAGACTAGACATTGAAAGCTTTCTGTTTTGTTCTCTCCCACGGAAGAGGAAAAACAAGTGTAATTGGCAACCCGAGACCCACTCGGTTTCTGTGACGGATGAAAACCACTCGGTTGTGTACGCAGTAATCGATCCTCATCAGACACGACAAATTAACATTTCCAAGCACACGCAAAAATCAGAGTGATTTGTTTTTCATATCCTTCAAGTGCCGGTTCGAAGGGTTCTAAGTCGGGATACCGAGATGATTAAATTAAAATCTGAAATGTGGGTGATTGGGAAAAACTTGTTTAAAAGATCACTGACATGCCCTTTTGCTAATTCGCGTTAAACATGATTAGGTCAGGATATTTTTTTTTCATTGGTGATATTCGCACGTAGCTAAAATTATTTCTGTTATCTATAAAATTATTTCTTTAATCTAAAGAAAAATCTTTCCTTTTTTAGTACGAGAGATTCTGATATCAAGAACCCCGCAGTTGTCTTCTAAGACATGATTTAAGAGAATCAGACGAGAACATAAAAAAAATCAAGATTATGTTACAGTAGTGCACTTCAATGATGTTATTTCTACTCGACTGGTGATTAGCAATAACAGAAATGACAGTGTGACGACCACCGTAGCAAGATCTTTAATTTTCCCAGAAATCTACGCGCGTCCCATCGTGCCATGTTTAGCTTTCCCAATGCATCCCCGAAAGAAAAAAAATCCTATCATTTCTTGTTCACATTGAAAAACCCATTTTCAATATGACAGTGGTTCGCTCCACCGACATGGCTGATTCAGCGCACTCACGCCGGCTTTACTCGAAAGCCTGAACCTTACGTGCCATCTCAGCACCATAAACCCCACCGGGGGGAAAAAAGGCCGAAGGAGATCCGATATTTTCACGGAACATACATCATCTTGAGTAAACACATGCAGGCACACGCATCCCCCGCACGAAACAACAGCACTTTAAGGTGTAATTTGCACTAACACATACACACGGCAGCAAACGTGTGTTCACCGTCGATCGTGGACGTCCTATTGTCCCTCTTTTGTTTGTACTTCAACTTTTTAGGAAGACTCCCGTAGGTTTTGTACACGACCCCAATCGTGGACGTATGCTGGGAATCGTGGACGAAATCGTTCTCTTTTGTTCTCTAGTATTTTTCGTCCACGGTTTGAAAAGATGAGCACGTACACAGGAGTGTGTATTTGCCTTCAATCGTGGATGCCCTATTGTCCCTCTTTTAGTAGACCTCCCATATGTTTTGTACACGATCGCCAAATTAGGGACCTTCGGGAATTGGGGACCATATTGTCCTCTATTGTTCAACGTCCCCTTGACTGCAGAAACAAACTCACCAAGTCGTGTTTAATATTTTATATACTTACGAGGTCCTCCTATTGTTCCCTTCTTTTGATGATATTGCTTGTACTCTAACTTTTTTCTGAACATCTCTTATACGGTTTGTACACAAAAATATCCCGAAGACTTTGCTCAGGTCCTCGGGGTTATTGTTATCGCTAATCCCCATTGTCCCAAGTCCTCAAACATAAAGGAGAACAAGATCACATCCCCGACGAAACCACAGCACCATAAGATAAATTTGCACTAGCACAAAAACACACAGCTCACTGTATAACACTACAGCCTCCCGTGTCTTAATTGCTTCGCAGTTTGTTTGGATCCCCAGAGATTGACACGACTAGTTGGATAAATTAATTCCCGTTAATTGCACGGATGGAGGAGCTTTTGTGAAAGCTCTTGAGCAAATTAAATGCGTAAATGCGATAGTTGTAAATGACAGAAGAGAGGCTTTGGCTATTCTAACAACAGATGTTGTGTGAATAACAAGATAATCTGATGAATGGATTTTGACAAAATCGTTTCGTTTGAAAAGATAATAATCCAGGGAATTAGTTTTAATTGTATTACGAGTACGGTAAGAAAAAACCCTGGCGACTGGTAATGTTTCCAGTTGAGTAATGTGACATTTATGCGTGGATGAAATTTGTAAAGTAGCTTTGTCACTCGTAAAATGGCATTGTTCATGTCCTATTGGCACTGTAAGACTATCAGTGAATAAAGTTTAAAGGTGCATTTGGTAGAGTTGCTTTTTGTACATTTTGTTTTTTGTTTGAAGCATACCAAGTAACTTGTTGAAGTTTCAGCTCAGTGGATACTACATGTATATACATTTTGAGAAAACAGAGAAAACGTATGCACAATTTGTTGGGGTCTCGTAACTGGATTCCGTTGCTAAACACACAAACTTGCGCCCGCGGGCACATTATCATAAATCACATTCAACGATCGTTTTCTTCCGAATGATATTATTTCAGTCGGAATATTTTCACATGGTATTTGGTACCAGTCCTATCTTCACTTTGAGCAAGGATTTTCTCGTTATATAGGTATAGGTACACTTCCAGTTATTGCAAATATGCCTACGTGCCTTTAATGTACGCATGAATTGTGATTTTTTTTTAACATAAACAGCTGCAGTATTCTATCTAGCAAATCATGTAAACTGTAATGACATTTTCTCCTGACACGACAATACTCAAAGAACGTTTCCAACCGCGCTTTATCATTTTCCCATTGAAACTTTATTGTCCCAAATAATTGCATTTCTCGAACCAACATCATAATGCACCCGGCTTTTGAGTGGCCTTACAGTCATGTACTATCAGACAAGAACATTACCATCAATAACGTCACGCATGTACACATTGCTTTTGACATTTTTTTTTTCTACCCGCACCTTTCTACAATAGACTTTTAAATTCGCATTGCAACATCGCCGCTGCTAGTACATTTTGTCTGGCTTAATTTATAAAGACCGTTTCAATCAACTACATGTATAGCATTGTCCAAGCATCAGTACATGCATCGTGTATTTTATCCCTCCACTTCCGCGCAGCGCATCTCTTCCGTGTTTGGCAAGGTTGTGTCCTTTTGACACCAATTAGTCTGGTGGCCGGACCACGTGGCTATCAGTTCAACCTCGCGAAGTGCGATACGCGCGGCGAGGGCAAGTCCACTTCGCGAATCGCTGCATAATCACGTCACGGATGCGTTCTGTGGCTATAAACATTATTCATGAAACAATATTACTCCTGTATTTTTACAAAGATCCTGGGAGGAAAACACGCCTAATTGAAAAGTTGTAGCGAACTGTAATTTATACCCACCTTTTAATGGGAGATTTTGTGCAAAACAATACGGTAATACAATTCATGGGTTTCAAGGATACACTTTGCGATCACTCTTCTGTAATATAATGCACGCTTAATTTACACTGGCGTCTTATCGGAGCTTTACACTTGGAATGGTGATATATCCACTTGACTCTCCATGTTGTTATTATTAAATGTAATACCAGCAGCTGATACGTAAGTCAAAGCGGGCATGACCCTTTTGTACGTGTATTATATATCTTGCTCGTGTTTTCCTCGTTATTGTGTTTGTAGCACTAACCTACCCGTATAATTTTCAAAGCCCAGCCTTGGCCGCACTTCTGGCAAGAGCCTCTTCACTGTTCTCAAGGTAAAAATACTGTGAATGTGTTTTATTTCTCTAAGGTATGAGCTATGTTTTGAACAGTTTTGACATGGAAAAACGAATATTGATTTCTGAAAATTGACAGTCCCAATCCAGTTCTCATGTAGACCACACACCTTGTTGTTTTCCCCAGGTGTCATGCCATGGATATCGGCTAAATTAAAGGCATATAAGACCATTTGCATTAATTCCAAAATTAACCTATATAAAAATTACCAAAAAAGCATAGATTAAAGATCGTCCTGGTACTAAACACACCGTGTGAAATATTCCATCTGGCTTGCTGTCATTTAGAAGAACAATTGACTGATATTTGGAAATCAATGAAATCGTGTTTCAAATGGTTGTTCATGGTCTCTCACTGTTTTCACTAAAAATGTAATGAGCTGAAATTGCAACAGGTTAGGTTTTGAACGTTCTTATTTAGATGTTGGGTGGTTTTATTACTGGAAACGAACAAAATGCATGAAAAGCAAATGATCCCACATGCCTTCAAAAAGCCTGGGACGTTTCAACGAGTTAATTCTCAAATTCAATTATTAAAATGACCAAGACAGGTGTCTGTGACCCATATCTATAAACTGCAATACAAGAAATGTCCTTGGTTCAGAAAATTGGGTCAAACTCAAGACAGCGTGTGTGTTTAAGACAGCTACATTGTAACTGTGCGCGGATCTACCCAATTACTGCACATGAACTATGGAAATACAGCGCGCCTCAAAAAAATGTAGCAGTCAAACCTTTTTTTTAGGAAACTATATATTGTTTGTTTTTGTTTTTGTTTTTTACCATGAGACGATAGAGTGTTTATACCCATGACAGGATTTTTGTTCTGTGATTTGGATCTTTTGTTTAAAAGTAACGGCAAAGCTTGTAAAGACTGTCAAAATCTGTTAAAGCCACTTTTCAGATTATCCGGTATCTAATGAGAGGCATTCACACACCTTCTTGGTACAACTGATAAGTGGCTAAATTTTTAATTCAAGTCCTTTCATTTAATCAGCTGTATCTCTGGACTGGGGTGTCCAAATGAGATGGGATAAAGACCACTGTGAAGAGTATTTACTATACGTTCAGACTCTATATATTGTATTGCTTTGCAAAAAGATGTATGGATTGATTAATACATATGGATTGATTGCTGCATTTTTATTGACACGAGCTGGATACGCATTTGTACTGTTCTTTCAACAAAATTCGACATCCCATTTGTTTAGTTTTCTTTCATTTTCATTACACCCACTACAGCAGGATCATTCTATAAATATTTACATGGATTCCCAACGTGCAACTATTAGGCTGATGGCTAATGATGATGGTGTACCCTCAAACAGAGAAGGAACAATTCTCAATGGGAATCTAAGATTTGTTAACAGAAGGTCGACGGTTAATATTTTTGAAAATTTATTTTACCTTTTCGAACAAGGGTATGAAAACTGACATAAGCTGATCATAACAGCCTCGACCTATCCAGGAAACCCGTTCAAAAATCACGTGACACCGTATTCTTTCCTCTAGGCCTATATGACACAACTTATAGCAGAAGCGTATTTGTACTTTACAAAGGCTTATGCCGCATTTAATTGTACAAATAAATAAAGTAAGGATGTTCTATAAATTAAGGATGTTCTCGCTTACGGTCAAATATTACTGGTCTAACCTCGGCCTCTATTGCTTTTTTGTATCTGTTTAAATACATCTGACAACACAAATTTGTATAGCACGTATAAAATAATATCTACATGATAGGTATAAGTTAGATATCAATAGGCGTTGTTTTAAAGCACGTTTTGGGACATACAAAAAGCCAAGCAACATTACATCGAACCAACAGCATGCAGAAAGAGCATGTGTATACATTCGTTATCACAATAAGCCCAGTTTCCATAAGAATCGTAACGGTCGCAGACTTATCACAAGTAAAATGTCTGCGACGTTGCCAGATGATACAGTCTGCGCGCTGCATGTAGCGCCACTTCGACGCGACATAGATCGTAAATGGATATGGAAACTAGGCTTTTATTTGTTTGTTTGGTTTACCTATGTTATTGGAATGCAAGCCATGAGCCATCACCGTTTAGCGCTGCCAGTCAAAGTGTCTGGCTCCATCCACACGGTGATAACTCCTCACAGCCTCTGTCACAACTGCACGTTGTGACCCTCTGGTTGGAAGGCCGAGGCACCGAAGACGTGCTGCAGCGCAATCTGCCGGAACTCCTTGCTGACCACGAAGCACAGGATGGGATTGATGCAGGCCTGGAAGAAGGTCATCCAGGTAGCCAAGGAGACGAAGCTGTGAGGCAGCGGGTTGGCCGGCTGAAACACCTGCCAGAAACAGTGGATGGTGTAAGGCAGCCACAACACACTGAAGGAGATACTGATGGCCAGAGAGAGCTTGCTGAATTTCTCCTCTCGTTCAAAGTCCGACTTGGAGAGGGAGGTGCTGTTACTGTTCGAGGGGGGAGCCAGGCCGATCAGCGGCGGCGGGGTGGGGCCCTGACGGTAACCGAGGAACCAGTTGGCCGCTGCCTGGCCCGTGGAACCAGGTCCGTAGAAGGTCCAATTGTTAGAAACGGCGGGCACGAACTGCATGGGTCGCATCTTGCGGTGAGCGCGCATGAAGAGAAACACCCTGAAGTAGGCGAAGTGCATGAAAGCGATGACAGCCACGAAGAACATGAGGAAACACATGGTCTCGTTGGTCTTATACTCCCGGTGCTTGAAGGTGCACTGATTCTCGTTCTCGATGAAGGAGTAAGTCCTGGTGTTGAAAACTGGTGGGAAGGCCATGGATACGGCCAGAGCCCACGAGGCAAGGACTAAGAGCAGGCAGGCCGGTCCTTTTAGCTTCTGTCGGTGAAATCGGTGAAACCGCAGCACCACGTATCGCTCTATACTAATCAGAAACAAGGTGTACAGGGCCCCGTAGGTAAGGTACACGTTGAAAAAGGCCAGGATCTCGCACAGGGAGTTGCTGTATATCCATTCTCGCGAGACCACGGCCGAGACCACGAAGGGGAAACACAGCACGGAACGGACGAAGTCGGCCAGGGCGCAGTTGAACAGAAAGAAGTAGGACGGTCTGCGCAGACGGGCGTTACCGAATACGACCACGGAGAGAATGCCGTTGCCTACGACACTCAAGATGATGACGAGTATAAGCGAGCCGCACCATAGCACTCGCGGCCCGTGGTCGTCCGGGAGATCGGTGACCCCGGTACTGTCGCCGGTATCGACTCTGGCGTCGGTGACCGACTTGACCGGTGTCGTGGAATCGTCAAGGGTCGAGTTGCCGGTACCGCCTAGGCCCAGCTCCAGTTCCTGCATCAGCGGGGTGGACATGCCGTACGCGGGTGACGCAGTGGTGGGTAGCTCTGCGCTGCTTATCTCCGGCGGCTGGCGAGCAGGCGGACGAATCTTGGTAGAAACGTGAAACATGGAAGAAAGGAACCCCGGGGTGCTCAACAGCGATGCGTAGTATTAAATCTTGAGAGGGGAAAGGCACACACACCGTGGCTCGGCAGTCATCTGGATGAAGCTCCTGCCGCGATATGACAGTCGCGTCCACATCCTCTGCAGGCCTTGGCCCCTTAATGAGCTAACACGCCGCCACATGAAGGAAGTACCGAGGCTCGCCATGCACTGAGGTATCCATGTCCACAGATCAATTCCGCAACTGAAATAAATATCAGAAACAAATTGTTATTAAATAGCAAGAGTGTGGTGTAACATTCGATCTGCAGATTAGTTCTGGCGGGAAACGAAGCTCCATTGTTTTGTTGCAACGGCCCGCTAGGCTTGGAAAATAATTTGCCATCGCTATACCGTTGTCCAATCAATGCATCCAGTGGCTCTGGTTGCTTTTTTATCACTCAGTCTAGATGCGTACTCGAGGATATTGATACAAAGTAAGCATCCATAATCTTTGCTGCTGATATTGTGTAATTGTTCCCCGAATGATGTTTTGGTTTGACTGTCGGTGATTTCCCATGACAGGTATATTCTACTGGGATAAAAGGGAGCCTAGAATTGAAATCCCTGCCGGGGGACGAGGTCGAAAAACCGAGGGGATTCCCTCGTATCCACCGACCTTTCCAAAGGCGATGGTGACCTTTAATTTTTCTGAGCGCTCATTTGGGTACATCATGGTAGATCTACTTCAACCGCCGGTCACAAATTTGGCTTTGCTTTGCTAGTCCCAGAGGGCCAGCGTACAGTCATCTTCGGTTCTCTTTGCACCTATCTCATTGACTGGCTGTCATTTTGTTAAAAAGACTCGCATATAAACCCCACCTTAGTTCCAAAAATTGACCAGAAAAATTGGTCGGGACGATCTCCGCTATAGACCTTTATCATGCTGCCACCATTTTAGTCATGTTCCCTGTATCAAATAACAGTACTGAGTGATAATGTTTTTTGCGCAAAAAGGAACCAGACTATTTTTCCTTCCAGCCACGCTTTGGTTACATTGATTTAAATGGGGGGAAAAATCAATTGCTGCAACATGATATTAATGGTCTATACTATACACTTGTTTTGTCGTGGAGCTTGTCACGTTGTAGAATCGTTATAAGTATGGCCCTGCTGTGTGTGCAAATTGCCTTGTCATCAGCTCCAACCCGACAAAAGGAAATGGTCTGCCTATAATATACTTGCTTTCTCTACACATTGACAAGCAACGTTCTACCGTGGACAAAGAAATACATAAACATATGCCTGGGTCCTTTTCAGGGCCGCACAAAAACTCAAACAAAAGATTTGTGTGCATAGTGTGGCCGCAGGGTTTTGAAACTACTGAATTGAAAGAACAGGTTTTGAAACTACTGTTGAGTCTGCCAATTACAGCTCCACGGTTCAGCTGATGCAAACCAACAACAAACTTATCGCCAAACATTGATTTCATGCCCACGCCCTTTTAGAATCAGGAGGGTTTTGCAATTATTTACAGGAATGGCCCCCTCCCCCTTATGGCTGTACCTATACTAATCCCATGTAGGCCTATACCCGTATACCCCCAGTAAACAAAACTCGACACCCTCTCTTTCCGCCGTCATATCGACGATTCGGGGTAGCTTTCCCCCTCTTGGGCACGTTCCTACCGATCCCGCCCACCCACTTTCATCATGCTATACCCCATGGGCTCTGCCAATCAACACATCAATCCCCTTCCCTCGCAAGACAATCTTGGAGACACCTTTCCAAAATTATCCGAGCACTAAACGGCGTTGGCTATTTTTGTTCATCCAGAAAAAAAGTACAAAGCTTGCGTTCGGATCACGTGTGGTAACGTCATCTATAAATGACATATCATTAAATTTTATAGGCTCTTGTAATGGTGTACAAATGTAGTAACAACAGACCGTTTGCACTGCATACGGCCATCTCTGGAGTGTGCGCTTTGTTCAACAGGGATACGCAGGAGTAGATCTCTTGTGCATTCATTGTTAATGAATTAACATACACAAAACACACCTCAAGGATGGCGACTGAATGCACTCGATCTATACAATTTGAGCCCCAACAAACAAACTTCAACTTAGTATTGAAACCGAGGGCTCCATGCTCCCCTTTGTGGCAAGGATTAGAAAAGGAATGGTTTCCAATATCATACGCAGGCTTTTAGCGCTGACAGCCTCGGTTTTGATGCTGGTTTGAACCTCGTCTACTTGAGTGTATAATTATTTCAATTGCCTAGATATGTTACATCGGAAACAATTTGTTTCTGTTTTACTTTCTAGCCTATATCACGCCACTGCAGAAGAAACAATTTGTTAAATAGGCCCAAATAAATAAATAAATTGTTAAAGTAGATACAGTCGAAAGCTAATTGACAACATTACATTTGAAATGAATGCACGTCTCAATCATTATTTTGATCACCAGATGTCATCAGATAAATGATGTCATCATGGGCCATAACATTTCCTGAAAGTCTCTAATTTTGTACATCATGTAAATAGTCGGTGAAGCAGTACATCTTGACCCTTCCCAGTGTAAAAAGTACCACCGACGTCTTTGTAGGTGCCCACAAAAAATACCGACTATACATTTTTTTTACATGTTGGCTTTTTTGGTGACTGGCTTTTTTCAACAAAACGCAACATGCATGTTCAACTCATTTTTTTGGTTGCCCTCAGAAGTGTGACACCCATGCTTAACCATCCACTGTATTTCATATACACTGTACATAATATTTCACGTTATTTAACAACAAAACATTTGATTAACCACTTTACCGACGATTAAAAACTGAACAACTGATCAGTTGTGCCATGGTTGCACACAAACCAACCGCGTTGTACATTTTAAAATGAACTTTTAACAAAATAGTGAGTTATTTTGAAGGCCTTGAAGGTCAATCCAGAATAGAAAAGAATAATATTTATGATACTAAACCCTAGACGACAGTCAAAACAGAACTTACCTTGTAGCATGGTTTAATATTATTGGAGTTTATAAAGCCAAAAATATCAATTCCAAATGCTGCTTGATAAATATACTATAGGAAAATTAGCTTGAAATATCCAGCTCATGGGCTCATGCCATTGGGAGATCTATACTGGCGAATCTCCCAATGGCATGAGCGTAGTGCGCTGGAAATTCCAAGCTAAAGAAAAGTGTATTCCTTCATTTTGTCGTGAAGTGATGCAATCGCCAACCCAGTGCTAACAAAGGTGAGTTAGCTATAATTGATTGAAAAAAGACCGTATGTTTTAAGAATAAAACCGTGCATAATCTAAACATGTATGTAGCGGGCCTACTGAAATGGAACACAGAGGCGTGCTGTGTGCACTGAGCTGTCCAGTCGGCCAGCTGCCGTTAAATCCGTTCAGCAGCCCGCCGGATCAAATCACAACAAAGGCTCGTCTGGCTCTTTGTTCCGAAGCTTTTCCTTGGTCCATATTTTCATAGCTGTAAGCGAAATGTTTTCACAAAAAAGCTTTCTCCTATATAAATTTGAGATATATTCAGAAAATACAACAACAACGAAAAGACACATCGATTATACAACAGATGCACAAGTTATAGTACCAGTAGATATTTAATTAGGATGTCCCATTGTGTGTATATGCCGGATACGTCACAACATTGAGGAGCCGCAGTCCTCATGCGGTCAGTGTGTGGACAGCCTTTGCGTGCACACAGCATGAGTTCCAGTCGTGCTGGAGTATAATTTCATGTCGACCTAAACTATAACGCACTGCTGCAGTCTGCCGTTCCTTTACCGTGTATATTTGTGCTAGACGTACTCTCCACTGCGACGTGTAATGTAAGGGGGATGCCTTCGAAATAATGATACCCGTCACCGGAAACCGGAGGAGAAACGTGCTATACATCCCCACTCAAATCTCTCCATGGAAGAAAAAAAAATCCACCAAAATGTTCTCTTCATCATTCAAGGTCTCAAGCTTGAGGTGAACTTGATTTTGCTCAGATCAAGCTGTTTACGTACCTTAAAAGAATCCAGACATGAGTGTGTTTCCGTATATTCCACAGCTGGGTCCACGAGGAGGAATGTGTTATTTTGTCTCCTGTTTCGAAACACAGATGTTGGTTGCGTGGATACACTGCGCACGGCCAAATCGCTCCGATCGAATGAGCAGTGCATGCGACGTGTGTGCGTTGGAGATGACCGTAGCCTGTACGTATGACAAAAGCACTGTCGCTCCCTGTACGGGTTAACTTTGCGCGCATGCGTTGTGGAAATGCCAGCCAACATCATGCATTATTATTTTATGATCATGTATGCCTGTAGGATTACGGGCTCCTAATGGTGTTCGTGTATTTTCTCCCGAGGCCAGCTCGGGGAAACAGCATCATTAATCCCCGCAGGAGTCTGGTTGCACATTTTCTATATCAGGAATATTAATTGTTGGGTACTGGTATCTTATGCGGAAACTCGTCTTTCGATCTGGTTTTACCACTTGGAAAATTGTCTTTAATTGCTGTCTACCAATTTTTTTTACATGGAGAGTTGAATTTTTATTGATAGCCTTTCAAGTCAAAAAGACACAATGGAACTGCTCGCTTGGCATGAGGCATATGGGAATGCGTAATAAAATCAGCAGGGCACACGACATTAGGCAATGGGAATACGTAGTAAAATGAGCAGGGCACACGACATTACAATAACAAGTGGGCAAAAGTAATATTGGACCGAGCAAACCCATTTGGACAATGCACTGCAAACGAAAAGTAAGTGAAGTCAGTGTTGAGGGATTGAACCGAACAAGGGATTATTAACATCTAGGAATCTTGCAACAATAAAAAAGGATAATCCATCAATACGAATGACGGTCTACTGTCTTGAATGATGTCCTCTATTTCTTTTCCACGAACATGCCTGTGCGCATCACTGCTTCTAAGAACGTGTCAAATATTATAGCCTAGACCACTGTACTGTCATTTTCTTGGGGAAAGATAATTTATGGGGTGAGGTGGTGTAAAGGGCTGTTGGGATGAGGAAGAATCATAGAGCATCATTGACCTCGAAACCTGCGAGATTTTACGAGAATACAGCACATCATGGCACCATGTTTAGGATCTACAACGTGTGTATTGTCCTATTTTTGGCATTTAATTTGTGGCCCGTTTGACCCATCCAATCAAGGGCAATAAATGGGTACTTTAAAAGAAAAGAGCATTTCAATTTACAACATATTGAAAAAAGGGACTTGATGTCTATTGGGCCTATCAAATTAAAAATGCTGACCTCAACTTCCGTTCAATCGATCACGCAGATAACAACTAAGCAAATTCAAACACGGGAGTCTGTGACTAGACTAGTCGGTGTTTGGTACCATGACGTTCTCATAAAAAGTGAACGTAGACTCGCGAGACTTACTCGGTCTACGCTAACTGGCATGCAAGGCTGTTACGTATGACTCTGAGGAATCACAAGAAATTTGAGGTTTAATCAATATTTAAGCGTATACACAACTAATACACTAAACGCCCTTTTTATGCCGTCAAAGTCGAATCCCATTTCAGACAATTGTCTTTGTTCGAACGAATATTGGTTTCAATTAAACTGTTAGTTTCGTTTGATATTCCAGTAATGGTTGAGTGCTCAAAATTATAATTGAAGTGAGAGGCTGCTTTTAGTACACAATCACAGACTGCAGAAAATATGAAATATAACCCCTGTAGCGTGTATATAGCCCCGTCCCTGAATCGCCTCCCATTATTGTTGCCTACACAGGATGATGTAGGTTTATACACATTGGCCATCAACACTATTCGTCAATTAAAGTTTACTGCCCAACATCAACACTTCGGGCATTGAGCAGATATTAATCATTAAACACACATCTGCAGTTGACAAGTGTACAGACTTAGCGCATTTTTGGGGGTTTAATTATTTTGACGGAAACATAATTATAATGTAGGCCTACGATGCAAACTAGACCGTTTGCACTGCGGCCATGTTTGAAGTGTGTTTGCTTTTGTTGAACATGTATACACTGTTAATGAATTGACAAAATGATGGCTGAAACGAACTATACCAGAAACAATGATTCACGCTCTAAAAGGTATATACGAAATTCTTGTTAATGTACCCTTTAATAAGGAGACATTTGTCGTCATAAGTTATACCTTAGGGAGACACCAGACATTAAGGAGACCGTTTCAATGTCTCCCTAATGTCACAATTCCTATTTAGAGGCAAAATTTTATTGTCGCAAATAGGCTAGATCGATTGCTCATGGTCCAAAACATACACATACCAGAATTCGTGGGGTAGGATAAGGGAAATTGGGATAAGGGGTCATTAAAGTTGGACCAATTTTGTGCATAACCCTAGGGGAATGTCCCCCTATTAGGTACTATTTCCCGTAATATTAATATTTCTGGTAATGAAACCAACGATTTCTCAAAAACGCCATAGGCCTAAGCACTGTAGCTCGCGCGAGCCTGAAGAAACCCAATATGCATGAGAACTGGCTGTTTTTAGAGGCGGCTGGAAAACCCCATAAGAATACCCTAAGAAAAACCCACGGAATCAGGTAGGCACTGATGAAAAACCAATCCATCTAGCGCTTACTTATTCCATGACACTCAATAACTTATAGGTCTCGCCACAATATCCTGTTCGTTGAATGTCTAGTCCACACATTGTTTTTGTAAATAAAAAAAAACCACCCGAACTGTTTCCCTTCATACGAAGTCCACACGACAACAATAAGCGCAGACAAGGAGGCATCGCGAGTCTAATACCAGACGGCAGTTAAATTCATCGTGTAATATAAAACTGTCAGATGAAATTTCCTGCTCGATGAAAGTGACTTTTCCCCCCTCCGTTCCTGTGTCCTTGTTGGTACATAATTTGCGTTACTGTCAGTTGCGTATGGAGATGAACGCTTGAATGTAGTCTCAATGAAACGAGACATTTGTGAATATGAACAGTCGTTGCTAGCGGTTACGTAGTACCGTAGTTTTGTTTAAACATGCTGCTAAATGGCTTAACCGGTTCATTTACAGTGACAGTTTTCTAATTCATTTCGTCTACTGTCAACTTTCCAAGTGCCGTCTAAACAACGCTGTGTTTTCTAAAAAAAAAAAAAAAAATGTATGAAAATAAACATTATTATTTAATTTGATGACTCATTCTCGTACTTTCTAAATGATTACATGTTTTATTCGTCAATGTTACAGTGGAGTCCATGACCATGGTCGTCACAAGCCAATCACAAGTCGTTCAGCACCTCACGATACAAGCCATTGAAATAAAATTTGACAAAGGCATTTATTTGTTATTGTCCACCCAATGTTTCTTGTGTACCGGTGTAGCGTGAATATCCGACTCCATGAAATGTGGACTCATTGGTAGTACGGCGCACGCGTGAGTACGATACTATGCTATTTTTAGGATCGTTTCGGGTGACCAATAATAGGGAAATAAGGGTCCGATTTTGATAGGAGTCGGATTTTCATGTGACACCGGCATTGTGAATAGACACGGATGCTTTACTAATCTGGTTGTGATTGACTGTTGATGACTTGTGATGATTTGTGATTGACTTGTGATGACTTGTGATGACTTGTGATGACTTGTTATTGACTTGTGATTGATTTGTGATGATTTGTGATGGACTTTTGACTGACTTTTGATTAACTTTAATTTCATTGACTTGTGATTGACTTGTGATCGACTCATTTGTGATTGACTTGTGATGATTTGTGATTGACTTGTGATTGGTTTGTGATTGACTTGTGAATGACTTGTGATTGACTTGTGATGATTTGTGATGATTTGTGATTGTCTTGTGATTGACTTGTGATTGACTTGTGATTGACTTGTGAAGATTTGTGATTGACTTGTGATTGGCTTCTGATTGACATGTGAATGACTTGTGATCGACTTATGATGATTTGTGATGATTTGTGATGCATTTGTGGTGATTTGTGATTGACTTGTGATTGACTTGTGAGTGACTTGTGATTGACTTGTGATGATTTGTGATGATTGTGATTGTCTTGTGATTGACTTGTGATTGCCTTGTGATTGCCGTGTGATTGACTTGTGATGCTTTGTGATTAACTTGCGATGATATATGATTGACTTGGGATTGACTTGTGATTGAATTGTGATGACGCGTGATGACGCGTGATGACTGGACAAGTCTTTTGTGATCATGGGCTCTATAGTACTACAACACTGATATATTTGATTCTATTTTAATTTGCTGTTTTGTTCATGATTGTATCGCAATGGTTTGTTTCAGTGTCTCAGCTGTGCCGTACTAACCCTGTAGGTCATTGTTTCTCACCGATATCACTCTGAATCCGCTCTGCCCAAGGAAACGGAAATAAATTGGACCTAGGCCACAGGAAAAAATATAGAGCCAAAAAATAAATCGACATTATGAGCGATCAATTCTTACAGACCGTGAAGTGGTGTGGGGACCCGCTATTGGTCTCAACCGAGGTCCTCTATTTGCAAGCATCATCGAATCTTTCAAGGTTGCCTTAATTTTCAAACATTTCCCACAATATTAGTCCCTCGAAATTGGAAAGTTCAAAAAGGGGCTTTGGTCAGATTTGCCGGAAGATAAATCATGCATCTCGAGTCTAGTTGCTATGTAAGACAACACACAAAGTCCACAGCCACTTGACTTCTGTTTAAACTGTTCGTCGAAACACCTACCGTTTAGGGCATCAACTTGATCCAAAGGTCCAACTGATTGAAAGTTGAGTCTTGTATTCTTCAAAAGTTAAATCAGCACTGTGCTCGATGCGGGGATCATGCATGCTGCCTTCGTATAATGAACCAAAAATTGTGTTATGCAGTGCCACAATAGCCAGCGCAAGGTATACATCTATTGTGAACCGCTAACTTTCTTTGTCTCGAGAATCAGATTAGGCACACTCAGTGTCAATAAATAATTTCCTCTTTGGGAATGCTTTGTTCTATGCATGGCGGAAAGAAGATAAGTAGGGATTGATTTTTGTCCTTCGATGTTACAGTTTTGAATCGATTTCCTGTGTGGTGCCCTGTAACTGCCCGCTTGTTTCCTCGTAGCGTCGGACCAACCCACCGACACGTGACCTCAAAAACCACAGCTCGATCGTTCAGATGTTTCCGGAAGATAGTACTACATAAATAGTGAGAGAGGTAGACTGGGAGCGAAAAAGGTTTCAAATCTCTGAGATTTGTGGATTGGGCAAAAGGCCTATGTAACGCCTTGCTTTCGTCGAAACGCAATTACTTTTTCTGCATCGAAGTAGAATCACCGACATAATGCGCATGCGTCAGGTGTTTTCGGAATGGTTATCGGACTTTACTTCCCTAAATAAAATGTTCAAGAGCCCCGAATCGGTAATAAAAGGTGAAAGGTATTCCATTGACAAGTAGGACTAGATTAAGTACGATTAAAGAGAGACAATTGACCTATTTTTCTGGGTGGGAAATAAGGTCGGTGCCCCCCCCCCCCCCCAAAAAAGCATAAACTGTACATTTAGGCCCGGTGTTGCTTCGAGATGCGCTTGAAACATAAATCTGATAAAGTCATTTCAAATCACGTCATAATTTTATCATTTTAATTGTACTGATTTGTTTCACGCATGCGCATTACGGTGAGTGACTATACACGGTTGCAGAGAAAAACCAAACTCGATCGGAAGTATCTCGGAAGCTGAATTCGTGTTCATGCATGAGTCACGTGATTGTGCCAGTGTAATTTCTGGAAGGTGTAGTATTTTGAGTTTAATACAAATCAGGTTTTTGATCCCAGTGACCCCATGATGACCTTTGACCATGGGCGTCACCAGGATTTTTTCTAGAGGGGGGCAAACAATTTTTTGGCCAAAAAATGCTTGTATTTCTCAACACATTCTCGATTTATCAGTTTTAGAGGGGGGCAGGGACATTTTGCCCCCCCCCAACTCATTAAATTTACACAACTTTGTCTTCGCGCCTTTTTTTTTTTTTTTTTTTTTTTTTTTTTTTTTTTTTTTTTTTTTTTTTGCTTTTCCAGGGGGGGGGGGGGGCAAGTGCCCCCCTTGCCCCCCCCTCGCGACGCCCATGCCTTTGACCCCAGTTTGGTCATGTGACATGTTTGGGCTGGACTACTAATACATTTGACAAAGTTTGGTTGAAATCGGTAAAAAAAAAAATTAAAAAAATTAAAAAATTACGGAGAGACGGATGATTTGTTGAGCTCCTACATCCGCAGCTAAAAATGCTATCAGGCTAGGACCAGCTTCCCCGCTGGCGAACAGACTTAATGCTCCAGCATGTCCGGTTATTTCCTTTCTTTATGGTTTGCTTTAGCTTTGTTTACCTACAATGGCATATCTACGTTTTGTGCTTGGTGCTTGTGAATGAAACATTCTCAAAAGCGGGAAGCGGGAGGGGAGGGAAATAATATCTTGAATTTTGAAGTGATGGAACATATATCGGACTGTGCATAAATTCAAAAGATATCTAAAAAAAACCTACTAATTTCCGGTATTATATAAGACGTGCACCCATAATTCGCACTTGTACAAGTCACACTCCATCATAATCAAATGTTATATTGTAAATAAGTACATGCATATTTCATTTCCTTCAGTTTTTCTACTATTATGCCAAGTAAATAATTAATTAATTAAATTATTGACCACTGTTTTAAATTATAGCTATAATTGTTTTTTATTTTATAAGTTATTCACAAACGGGACCAGGCTCTATATAAGCTTAGGCTTTTTTCCTGGTTCCCCCATCTGTCACCATTTATGTTTAATTGATCAAAGTGATGTGCATGTATTAGCATTCTATTAAGTTTAGTTATTGTTGTAGTAAATAATCTGTTGCATTTGCATTATATTAATTTGTGACAAATGGAAATAAAACAATACAATACAATATATTGTTTAATGACGAATGTCACCGAAAGGGAAATAAGGCCTAGCCCCCCCCCCCCTTCCCCTGGCCCCGCCGCCTGATACGCCAATGACGTTCCTGACGGAATACTATAGTGCCATATGTCCTGAATTTAATACATCGATGAGTCTTGCCTTGAGGCGAAAACACACAATTCCGTTAATAAATCCATAAAACTGAATCACAAAGCCGGGAACTATACTCAGAAAGATGTTTATTGATTTACGTAATTGCTGATCGATTGGGCTAATAACGGCCATAATTATGTCACGAATCTGTTATTACTATCTATGCATATAGTTCCCTGTTATTCAAGATACGGAGTGTAGGACAAGCCTAAAGTCCTTTGGAGTTTTTATGAAATGTTCTGAAAGATAAAATAGTAATCTCCATTTATATGACAGTTTTTGTTTAATGAAAGGCAATTAGGATCATTTGCATTAAAAGTCGTTTTTATACTTGGATCGTAATTAATACTTAAAGATGGCATGGTACTAAACTCCCCGGGAATTATTCTGTCTGGCTTGCTGTCATTTAGAAATGTTTATAGGTGATTCCAAAGATCAGTCAGCTGATAACCTTTTGAAAAACAATGCTTTTGACGAAATCGTGTTTCGTGATCAAAAGGTTGTGTGTGGTTTTCACTGGTTTCTCAAAAAGTGTAATATATCAACTGCACTGAAGCTTCAAAAGGTTAGGTTTTGAACATTTGAACATTTTTGTCGAATGTGAAACAGTTACATTGTCGGATTTTACTCAAAATGTCTCTCTAGGTCTAATATTAGGGTTATATACACGGCACATTGGTAATTACAAATATCGTAGAAGAGCTCCAGGGAATGAATTTTTAATTGAAGTGATTTCCATGCTATTGAGATTCAAGTGCACTGGCGGCTGAGCGCGCTAATTACTTTTGTATACCCCGGGGAAAAATTGCCAAGTTTGTGCTGCATGAGGGCGCCCTTCAGGAGATGATCGCGGGCAAGTTCGTGTCCAAATCGAAAACAATTCATTGGCTCCTAAAGTTACAATGCAAGTAGAATCCATCTGTTGTAGGAATAGTTTGCTGGGAAGCCTTCGGTTGGGATGTTCTTGTACAGGTTGAATTTGTAAAGTCACCCAACAATGTGAACCAGGGGCCCCCTGAAAGATTGTCTTTCTATTGAGCCCACCACGCAGAAGTAACCAAGTTAGCAAAGATGGATATTTAGGGATCATTGGAAATGATGCACTTACTGGGTATGCGGAAAAAAGGTTTCTGATTAAATCTCCGTATTTTGTGCTTATTTCACCAGCCCCGCATATACATGTCAATAGTTTTATGTAGTATGCACAGTGCCCGAATCAAAACTTTTGATCAACTCGTAAATTAACCCGAAAAAACTGACCAAGAGCGTAAACTCCACGTTATGCCGGGCCTTACCCAGCAACCCCAGAAAGTTTCCCACCTTGACAAGTTTGCTTTAATCTCCTCGATTTTTTTTTATATCAACATTTTCAGAAACGTCCAACTGCCGCTGCTGTCTGAAACGAGGAAAAAGGGGGGAAACTCAAAGGGAGGTAATTTTTTACAATTTTGGGAGATATGAATCCAGGGGTATAAATGATAGAAACTTCGGCCAATATGTAGGGTTTTGTTTTAGGTCAGGTGGCAGTTTTTTATTCCAGACAAACCCACACACCTTACAAAGGATCAATGTCATGCTGCGTCCGATTTACATATACCTGCTTAGGGCTGTCAAGAAAACACCTGTCTCATCAATGGAGTGTGGATTCAGCCATACGCGCCTGCATGATGTTGGATGGTAGAGGGCGCTATATATAGCGAAAAGAACATGGTCGGCCTATGGTCGGCCTGTGGTTCGGCCATGTGACGTGCACCTAAGGTTAAAGGGAATATACAACATTTGCGAACATCGAAAAACAAAACTAACACATTTTTACAAAATACCTTACTAGGATGTTGATAAATGACAGTCTAAAGCATCCTGTAAAATTATGGCACCTGGTGTGAAGTCATTTTCAAGAAAAGTGGTATTTTGTATAAATTTCCAACAGTGGTCGGCCGACCACCGTTGGAAAAACCTAACTATTTTTCAATTTCTGTTCCAAATTTACCATTTTTTTCAGTCCAAATTTTGTTTGCTATTGGTTTCATGTTCATGAACGGGTGCAGGCCAGCTAGACTGGTTCCCTTACCTTACAATTTTCCGGCATCTATAAATTGATCCATTTCATCTTTAGTGGAGTCAGGGAACCAGACTACTTGAACATTTGTGTTTTTCTTGGTTTTTCCAGCATTTTTTGAACACAAAACTTCACACATGTCAGTGTAACAACATTTGATCTATTATACTAACCCCTCAAATAGTTCATTTCTGAAAATTACAGCAAAAGCCAATGATGAACATTCCCTTTAACGTGACCCCTAGTCAAGGACGTGGAGATTTAATTAATCCCTCTATTTTTCATGTTTGCCATTGGTAATATTTGTTCTGATTTTCGTCACAGAGAAGAGCATAGTCGGATGTTGTCTACCCATTCACATTGAAGAGCGCCCCCATGGTAGGAATCTTTTCGTTCGTCTCAAAGGGGTGCAGCCCAGTAAATAAGCTGTGGTAATTACGCCCACTTCCCAAAATTATTATAAAATACTCACTACCTTCGGAGGTGTTCAAGACACGCATCAAATTAAAGCTTATTTCATCATTCATTTTCTGTTCAATATTTTTGCAGGTAATCTAATGACTTTTGGGAGAAAAATCTAAAAATAGAGAAGTCTAAAAATAGTCCTTGAAGCCCATTACCATTTAAAAAAACGATGGCTACGCTCCAATGCAAAATAGAGCGCTTTTAGGGCCCAATTTCATCCATATTTCACAGAAATACAAGCTCACAGTCCTATGCACGGCCCCCACCCTTCTTTTTACAAACCCTGAAGTTCATGGCCCACAAAATGCTGATACCGAATGCAAATCGTGATTTGCCCGACGAAGGCAATTTTGGACCGATTTACTGGTCTGCACCCATCGGTTCTCGCCTCACAGAGTACACACCAAGATAATCCG